GGAGGAGGAGGAGGAGGAGGAGGAGGAGGAGGAGGAGGAGGCGGGGCCCCTTCGCTTGAGGCGGGGGCGGAAGTCTTTTGTTGGTTGTCACGTCTTCTTCCGAGGCCCCAATGCCCCCCCCCCTATCAGAGTATTGTATTTTCTTTGGTGCCTGCTCTCGCAGTTTTGCGCTTGGTGGCCGCTTCAGGCTGTCTCTGTCTAGTACCCCGCTGCCGCCAGCGTGCTTGCTTGGGATGCCTTCTCCCTTCTCCCCCTCCTGCACGGGAGGAGGATGAGGATGTGGAGGAAGATGGCAGCTTCAGGATTGATCAAATGCCAACTGCTCGAAGCTCGAAGGTGGAGGAGGAGGAGGAGGAGGAGGAGGAGGAGAGGAGGAGGAGGAGGAGGGAGGGGAGGAGGAGGAGGAGGAGGAGGAGGAGGAGGAGGAGGAGGAAGAGGAGGGGAAGGTAGAGAAGGCGGCAGAGCTATAGGAGGAAACGGAGGAGGAGGCGGCGGAGGAGTATGAGACCGAGGAGAAGGATAGCGGAGGAGAAGGAGGAGAAGTAGGATGATAATGAGGAGGAGGAGGAGGAGGAGGAGGAGGAGGAGGAGTGGAAATGGTGGAGCGAGGAGCAAGTGGGGAGGAATCGGGAGGGACGTGAGTGGAGGAGGAAGGGTGGGGCGAAGAGCAGGAGGATGTGTAGCCGGAGGAGGAGGAGAAGGAGAAGGAAGAGGAGGAGGGGGTGAGGCTGTGAGGCTGTGAGCGAGAGAGAGAGAGAGATAAAGATAGGCGGCAGCTTTTCTGTTTGTTTGTTCGGTGTTGCTGTCAGATTTGGCCCGCGTTTCGTGAGCTGCCATGCGCTGCAGTTGATTTCCACTGTCGGGGCTTCCCCGCCGCCTCATCCCCGTTTTCCTCTTCCTTCTCATCCTCCTCTTCTCCCCAGCCTGGTTTGCCGGCTCCACCTTACTGTCCAGCTTCTCCTGCCTCCTATTTCCTCCATTCTCCTCCCGCCCTCTTGCCTCCTGCCTCCCGCTTCCTAAGTTCCTCCTCCCTGCTCATTCCTCCCTGCAGGGAGGAGGAGAAGGGACATGCGGATGGAGATGGCGATGAAGAAGAAGATGATGATGATGAACACGACGATTACAATGATGATACTAATGGTGATGATGATGCTGATGCTGCTGATGCTGCTGATGATTATTATGCTGATGCTGATTATGCTGACGCTGATGCTGCTGATGATGAGGCCTATGATGATGATAACATTGAGGCTGCTGCTGCTGATGATGATACTCATAGTGCTGCCGATGATGATACTCATGCTGGTGATGATGTTGACAATGGCGATGCTGATAACGATGACGATGTTGGTGATGCTGATGATGATGATGTCGGCGACGATGATGCTGATGTTGATGATGATGATACGGATGATGATACATATGATGTTGATGATGATGGTGATGCTGATGATGATGCTGATGCTGATTTTGATGATCATGATGCAGATGATTATGCTGATGTTGATGATGACGATGATCATGGTGGTGGTGATGATGGTGATGATGATGACGCTGCTGCTGCTGATGATGATGATGATGCTGATGATGATGATGATGATGATGATGATGATGATGATGATGATGATGATGATGGTGATGATGATGATGATGATGATGATGATGATGATGATGATGATGATGATGATGATCACGAGGAGGAGGAGGAGGAGAAGGAGGAGGATCATGCAGATGGGGAAGAAGAGGACCATGAGGTTTCGGAGGCCAGCGCCACAGGCTACGTACATCCCTGTCCCTGCAGTGTTTGTCGTTCTCTCCCTATTCTCCGTATTGTCGATGTTGGCACACGGTTAGTCCATGTAGTTTCATCGGCACGCATTTATGTGTACATACAGATGCGTATTTTGAGCTGTTTACACACGCTCGGGGAGACAGACAGTGACACAAGTGGTTTGTTGGATTTGTTTGTGTCTACATAGAGAAGGGGTGGGCGAGGAAGAGAACAATAACACGCGCGAGAAAGAGAGAGAGAGAGAGAGACAGAGTGACCGAACGAGAGAGATAGATAGAGCGAGCGATATGCCTCCATACGCACGATATGGGTATACATACGCCGATGCACATGCACGAGGGAGGGGTATCTAGATACATGTATACATAGATATGGGGGGGGGGGGGCTGGAGAGAGAGAGAGAGAGGGATAGACATAGGGTTAGAGAGGGAGAGCGAGGCAGACAATGATGACACTGAGGAGGGGATGGAGGATGGAGAATAGATGAGGAGGAGGCAGATGATACCTCGGCCTCTCACGAGGAGATTTGGGAGGAAGAGGCTTATATAAGTGACGGTGGAGGAGAAGCATGCGCATGAGGACTAGGAGTAGTTGACGAAACAGGATTGGGAACATCAGCAGTGCGAGAATGACGGGGGGATTATTATGCTGATGCTGACGTTGTTGGCAGTTGCTGCAGCTGCTGATGATGCTGATGGTGATGTTGATCATGATGCTGATGATGGTGATGATTATGTTGAGGATAAGGTTAATGATGCTGTTGATGATGATGGTGGTGCTGATGAGTATGATTATGATGGCGATGGTGATGATGGTGCTGTTGTTGATGATGGTGATGGTGATGATGCTGCTGCTACTGCTGATAGTGATGTCGTTGATGGTGATACGGATGATGATGACGATGATCATGCTGATGATGATGATGATGACGACGATGATGATGACGATGAGGGTTCAGATGATAATATTTCTGATGGTATTGCTAGCGATAATGGTGATAATGATGATAATGTTGGCGACTATGATGATGATGATGATGATCATGATGATGATGATGATGATGATGATGATGATGATGATGATGATGATGATGATTATGATGCTAATTATGATGATGGGATTGACGATTCTGCTGATGGTCTTGATACTGGTCATGGTGGTGATGATGATGACGATGATGATGATACTGTTGCTGCTTGTGCTCATTGTGATGCTGATGATGGTGAAGCTGATGATAATGATGCTGATGTTGTTGATGATGCTTGTCGTGATGATGGTGGTGAGGTTGATGCTGAGTATGATGACGAGTTGCTGATGATGATTATGTTGTTGCTGGTGCTGGTGCTGATGATGCTGATGATGATTCTGATGTTGGTTTTGATGATGATGATTGCGATGACGATGACGATGGTGATGCTGATGATGTTGATGATGATGATAACGATACTGAGAATGATAACGATAATGATGATTATGAGGGTGATGAGCAGGAGGAGGAGGACACATGGAGAGAGTGGAGGCGAGTGGGACTAATTTGACTCAGGCGGATGCATGCGGAAGAGGCGGAGGAGTAGGAACACGCAATCAGGAGCAAGAAGGTAACAAGGAAGGGCGAGCGCAAGGAGAAGGAGGGAGGAACGAGGAAGGAAGGAAGGAGGACGCGTCGGATTGGTTTGGGCCCTGGCGTGCTGTCATCTTTCGTTTTTTTGGGCGCCTGCTCTCTCAGTCGGCCTTCAGTCGTCGAGCCTTCTCTTCATGGAGTGCGGTTGGTTTCGGGGTCAGTGCTGCAGGGCGAGGACGGCCCAGATCGGCGACGCCGCAGTTTTTGCACGACGTGGACCCCCCGGGGTCTAGACTTAAGTCGGGCCTGTCCTTCTACAGGGGGAATATCCAAAAATAGTAAAAAATACATCCCCAGGCCGAAAGTTCTTGCCTCTTGGACTAAAGATATGAGAACATCTCTCGATCCAGTTGGATCCCTTTTCGGGTGTGGGAAAGATTCGTGGATCCTACTAATTACTGTGTTGCGCGGATCCAATTTCCTGTGTGTGAAAAAAACGATGGATTCATTTATTTCCCGGGAGTTAACCTATAATAATAATTTAGCATCCAGGACCGAGGGGAAATTGGACCCGCGGAGCACCGCAAGTGAAGCATCATGCTATCCACGGAGCTGTGGATCTGCAGACCAATGCTATGATTATACGGGGGAGGGGGGTCTTCCCATGTGGGGCTCAAGAGGAAAATCTTTCGGCCTGCGTGAGTATTATGGGGACTATGTTTTACCATTGTTGATCAGGTTTGGAGTATTTTTGGCGTATTTTTGATTTTCCGCCCAAATCCCCCTGTAGGGGGACAGGCCTGACCTAAGTCTAGACCCCTCCCCAGTTACCGGGGCTCCATCTTGTGATCGCCTTCCGACGGCCAGGCCTGGCACGGGCCCCCGGGGGGGCGAGCACGACCGAAGGCCTCCCGGCGCGACGTCTCCTCGACGAGGGGAGGTCTGGGGAGGGTGGTCGCAGGCGGTTTGCCCCCCCCCCCAAGCCCCGAGTCGGCACGAACGAACTGGGTACGGAAAGCAAGGGCGCAATGCCCAACAGCAGTTCCTGATCGTTTTGAACAGGACTCGCTGTCGGTGTCGCCGCGGTCTGTGTACATTTGAGACAGAAGGCCGCCTGCCCAACAGCGGCCGCTGTTGGTTTGGGACAACATTTGTTGTTGGGCATTGTGCCCATTTTTCCCGTACCCATTTCGGGCGTCCAAACCGAGTTCCGCCAGAAAAGTCTGGCCGCTCGAAAAAAAGGGGGGAACTCGGGGACACACCCCAAGGGGAATATGCGGACGCACCCCTTCTTGAGGATGGACGCCCCCCCACCTCCGTGTATCCCCCCAAATTCTTGGTCCATTCGAAATGCCCACGAAGCTTGGGAGAAGGGTCGACACATCCCTTATCGAGGGGGGACCCTGGCCAGGTAGGGCCGACGTCGGCAAGATGGCCGAGACGGTGGAGGTCGCCCTCGCGGCCACCAGCCAGGCAGGCGGGGACGCCCACTCTCCGGGCGGCTGCCCCGCTGAGGGCCACGACGAGGGCACCGGGACAGGAACAGGTCAGAGGAGGGAGCGGCACTCGAAGAGAAACGCCAAGAACATAAACTGTTGGCGCTCCACGCGGATTTCTTGGATCCGCGCTGGGCCCCCATGACGGCGCCTGCAGCGCCGCCCCTGGCGCGCTCCGCGCGCCAGGGAGGTGGGTCCAGCGCGGATCCAAGAAACCCGCGCGGAGCGCCACAAGTTGTTGCTTATGCCGTTGTTTCTTCTTCTGGGTCGGTCAGAGGAGGAAGCGGTACCGACACCGTTGCCCTTGCCTCGTTTTCCCCTCCGTTGGGGCCTCCTCCCAAGAGGCTCTCGTCGCCTCGGCTGGACTCGCCGCCAGATCCTGGTCAGAAGGCGCCCCAGGAGAGGTCCGGGGAGTAGGGGTATCGGTATCCCGGGCTCCCCCCCATCGGGACAGGGGCAGGGATAGAAAAAGGAGCACAGGGCCAGGGCTATGAGAGCACGGACCTGAGGATAGGGATCGGGACGGGGACGGGGATGGGGATGGGGACAGAGGGACGGGCGGCAACGCGATTCCACGCGAGGCAACGGGAGGCCACGGGAGGCCGCGAAAGGCAACGGACGGCCACGTGAGGCCACGGGAGGCCTCGGAAGGCAACTGGAGGCCACAGGAGGCCACGGGAGGCAACGGCAGGCCGAGGGAGGCAGCGTGAGGCGACGGGAGGCCACGGGAGGCAAGGGAAGACAATTAGAGGCGACGCGAGGCAAAGGGAGGCCACGAGGGGGCTTCTACCATATGAACAACTATGCTTGTCAATCTGTCTAGGGGCCCGAGTCTAGGGGGCAGGCTTGCTTGTCAGCGTGGACCCAAGCAGTGAGTCATTGCACCCCTAATTCGCAAGCGATGCCACGCAACACCATGCAGTGGCAACCAATGTCAAACAACGCCCATCAATTTCAGTCAATGCCAGATAATGCCAAGCAGTTCAAACAAATGGCAAACAATGCCATGCAAGGCAACGCAATACCGATCAATATCGAACAACGGTTCAACACAATGCCAACCAACGCCAAGCAATGCACATCAACGTGAATCAATATCGTTGACGCTTCGCGAATCCCCACCAGCCCATCCAGAAACGATGCCCATAGGAATTGCCTGGATCAGGGAAGTGGGCAGCACACAGAAAAGCCATTCTGAGACATCTTGGGATATCTTGAGCCATCTTGGAGGTCATCTTGGGCTCTCCCAGGCGCTCTTGGAGTCATCTTAATCAGTGCTCCCCCCAAGAGGCCAACATGTGGCCAAAACCTTCGTGAACTCAATGGTTTGGCATTCTCGCTGAGGCCTGTTGGAGCATCTTGGGTGCCTCTGGGGGGTCCCTTGGGGCCTCTTGGGGGTCTCTTGGGGGCCTCCTGGGGGCCTCCTGGGGGCCTCTTGGGGGCCTCTTGGAGCCATCTTGGGGCCATCTTGGGGCCTCTTGGGGCCTCCTGGGCACTTCTTGGGGCCATCTTGGAGGAGATCGATCAAAGAAGAGGGGAGCATTAATCCGTAAGGGCTTTGCCCCCTGCCGCCAGCCCCCTCTCTCGGAGAATGGGCCATGGAAGAGCTAAGTCATGAGGCCTTGGCGCTGTCGTGAAGCAGTATCGAAACTTCATGCGAAGCCGATTCGCAATCAGCAAAACCAACTGATCACAAGAGGGGTTACCACACCTGGCGATTGGTAAGACGTGTATGGTTTACGGGCTTGGTTACCACACCTTGCGATTAAAGGGCCGAGGGAGTTCTCGCAGTTTGGGTTACCACGCCTTGCGATGGATGTGCGTGAAGGGTGGCACCGAATTTCAGAAATGTGCAAATCCCATGTTTTTGGACCCTGACCCCGCGGATCTGCATAAGGGGTGGCGCCGAATTTCAGAAATGTGGCAAATCCCCTGTGTTTTTGGACCCTGACCCCGCGGATCTGCGTGAGGGGTGGCACCGAATTTCAGAAATGTTGCAAATCCCTGTGTTTTTTGACCCTGACCCCGCGGATCTGCGTGAGGGGTGGCACCGAATTTCAGAAATGTTGCAAATCCCTTGTGTTTTTGGACCCTGACCCCGCGGATCTTCGTGAGGGGTGGCACCGAATTTCAGAAATGTAGCAAATTCCATATGTTTTTGGACCCTGACCCCGCGGATCTGCGTGAGGGGTAGCACCGCATTTCAGAAATGTTGCAAATCCCATGTGTTTTTTGACCCTGACCCCGCGGATCTGCGTGAGGGGTGGCACCGAATTTCAGAAATGTGGCAAGTCCCTTGTGTTTTTGGACCCTGACCCCGCGGATCTGCGTAAGGGGTGGCACCGAATTTCAGAAATGTTGCAAATCCCATGTGTTTTTGGACCCTGACCCCGCGGATCTGCGTGAGGGGTGTCGATTTCGAGCCCCCCCAGCAATTCAGACAACGCGCCCAGGGGACGCTAAAAAGCAACTTTGGGCCTCCCCCCCCTCGCGCGGTCAATCAACTAGTTACAGTAACCAGCAAAAAGTCAACTAGTTGCAGTAACCAGCAAGAAGCAGAACTGTAACACTGGAAACTACAACCTACGACTGGTACAGGAGACTGCGAATCACGGGCCTACAGCCTGGTGGCCCCCTTGTGGGCCGGCGGATTAGCGTCCCCCCAGGAGGCCAAAATGGTGCCCAAACCCTAGTACAACCAATGATTTTGGCTTCCACGCCGAGGCCGTTTTGGCATTCTCGCCGAGGCCTCTTGGAGCATCTTGGGTGCTTCTGGGGGGTCTCTTGGGGCCTCTTGGGGGTCTCTTGGGGGCCTCCTGGGGGCCTCTTAGGTGCCTCTTTGGGCCATCTTGGGGCCATCTTGGGACCTTGGGACCTCCTGGGCGCTTCTTGGGGCCATCTTGGAGGAGATCGATCAAGCAAGAGGGGAGCAGCAATTAGCATCACCCCCCCCAGGAGGCAAAAATGGGGCCCAAACCCTAGTACATCCAATGAGTTTGGCTTCCTCGCCGAGGCCGTTTTGGCATTCTCGCCGAGGCCTCTTGGAGCATCTTGGGCGCCTCTGGGGGGTCTCTTGGGGCCTCTTGGGGGTCTCTTGGGGGCCTCCTGGGGGCCTCTTGGGGGCCTCTTGGAGCCATCTTGGGGCCATCTTGGGACCTCTTGGGGCCTCCTGGGCGCTTCTTGGGGCCATCTTGGAGGAGATCGATCAGATAAGAGGGGAGCGTCAATTAGGGTCCCCCCCCCCCAGGAGGCCAGAATGAGGCCAAAACCTTAGTAGAATCAATGATTTTGGCTTCCTCGCCGAGGCCGTTTTGGACGCCCTGACGACTCGCGGCCCCCCCCCTCCAGGTCCATGGGGAGGGGGTAGGGGGAGGGGTAAACCCTTCCCCGAAGGGGAAGAAGGAGGGGTGGAAGAGGAAACTCTCTAAACCACCGACGCCCAGAGGGCTGGTGGGACTAAGCAAGGAGTCCAAGCAGTGCATGGCAACGCCACGCAATGCTAAGCAATGCCAAGCAGTGCCACACAATGCCGAGTAACGATGCCAGGCAATGCGAAGCAACGCCACGCAACGCCAGGCAATGCCAATCAATGCTTTGCGTTGCATTGCTCAGAACTGTTACAAGTTGTGTTCGAAGACAGAAGATCCCCGATGGGGTCGCTCCAGGTTTATTGAGCGTCAGGAGGCCTCAGGGTCGGCGGGCGGTGGAGTTGATGGTGTTGATCTTCGCGTGATTCGGATGACGACAACTTGTAGATCTACTCTGATCTTGCCCAGGCTCAGCGACCGGAGCCCGAGACCCATTCTTCCTGCGGCGTTCTTGAGCTGGATCGATCTGTGAGGGCCCCGGGCCCGAGCCCGGGCGAAAACGCGCGGTGTGACAGAATTCCGGCGCCTGGATCTCGGGGTCCCGCAGCGTTTTTTTTCCTCGGTTTGGCGTCAGGGTTGGCCGCGGTGCCGCGCGCGGGGTCGGCCACTCCGCAGCGCCGGGCGGAGCCCGAGCAGGCCGCGGGGCTGCTGCGCACCCCTGCCTGCTGACGCACGGCCGGGCCGCCGCCAGGCGCAGGAGAAGGAGGCCTCGGACATCCTGGGGGCCCTGACGGAGGAGGTGATGCGGTGGCAGCTCCTGGGAGTCTCGCGTGTCCTCGAAGACTCCGCTTGAAGAGTGCGCCGGCGCGCGCTAGCGTCCAGCAGTCGATGGAAGAGCGCCGACTTAGCGTCGACTAGAGTCGGTCAGCGTCGCTTCGCGGGGGCCCACACGATGATATGGGAGGCTCCCGTGAGTTGCCACTGAGAGGTGAGCCGCAGCATTGGCGCCGCCAAGGAGGGCCTCAAGATATTGCAAGAGCGCACCGACCAGGAGGCCACGCTTCTACTCCTTGTCTTCCCTCCTCCTCCTCCTTCCTTCCTTCCTTCCTCGTCGTCGTCGTCCTCCTCCTCCTCCTCCTCCGCCTCCTCCTCCTCCTCCGCCTCCTTCTCATTCCGACCCGAAGCCATGAGTCAGTGTGGGCTGTCCTGTCCAGATTCTTTGGCAGGAAAGCCTATCCAGGAGTAATCTGCACCTGCCAGGGACCTGGGCCCCGATCTGGGGCAGAAACGCCCTTCGTTTGTTTTCACGCCCAGATGAGAGGGTTTCCCAGAAGCCACATGGATTTTGATATTGGGGGCGCGTCTACCATGTTCAGACCACCTGTTCGCCAGTCGGCCGTCGATGCGTTGTGAGCTTGTGTCTTGCCAGTGCTGCATGTGCGCGGCCGTTCGCAAGGGAATTCGGCGAGATCCAACGGATCTCCCGGCGCACGCGAGTGGAATTGCAGGGGCATTCTTCACCTTTCGCGCCTTGGCGGTCTGCCTGCCTGCATGGGACTTCTGGGAAGCGAGGCTGAAACTTGGCTGTGCGAGGAGGTGCGAGGAGGTGGACAGGGATGAGGATGAGGAGCAGGAGGAGGAGGAGGAGGAGGAGGAAGAGGAGGAGGAGGAGACGGAGGAGGAGGAGGAGTTGGAGGAGGAGGAGGAGGAGGAGGAACACGAGGTGGATCCCCTAGACGCCCTAAGGACCCCGTAAACGCCGGAAACATGCTCAAACATTCACCCTCCTTTCTCCTCCTCCTCCTCCTCCTCCTCCTCCTCCTCCTGTTCCTCCTCCTCTTCCCCTTCCCTTCGAGGAGAAAGAGGAGGCGGCGGGGGAGTAGGGGGAGGAAGGTTGGATCGGCTCTCCACGAATGCAAGGTCACTACCTGTCAGCCCGGCGAGTGCCGAACCCATTTGGCATGGCAACCGAAAGCGCCTTCACAGCGGGGTCAGCATCAGAATCAGGCACACGAATCCGAGGGGAGGGGCACCAAAAAACAAGTAGAAACACATGAAGCTCCGGGGGCCATCACCAAAACAAGCGATAGACGCTTCCAAGCCACACGTGAGGCTCCAGAAGCCACCAACAAAACAAACGATTGACTTTCGCCCTCGGCTCAAATACGGCGCCGGAAAACTGTCGCGGGGGGGTGAACCACGGCGGGACTGGGATACCCAGGGGAGGGGAGGGGCCCAGTCCCACCACGGCATACCCCCCTTTCCTGGGGGATGCGCCCCCCAAACCTTGAAGAAGGGCCCCCACCCCCGCCAGTGCTGGTGATAGCCACCCGTGTATTTCTACCCCGGCCATCTGGCGGCACCGACTTCCCCGTCCGCCTCCAACCGACGGGCGCTGCCCGGGTTATCCCCGAGTCCTTGACGGGGTCCTGCTGTCCAAGCCGGGGAGGCAGGTGAAGGAAGAGGAGGAGGTTGGGGAGGAGGATGTGGAGAAAGAGTGGCAGGATCAGGACGAGGAGGAGGAGCGCGGAGGAGGAGGAGGAGGAGGAGGAGGGGGAGGAGGAGCAAGGACGAGGAGGAGGAAGACACATCAATCTTGACAAAAAAGATAATGAGGTGGAAAAGGATGGTGGCAAGGGGCGAGGGCGATGAGGAGGCGGAGGCGGAGGAGGAGGAGGAAGAGGAGGAGGAAGGTGGGGCAATGAGCGCTGGAAAGACGCGGAGGACGATGAGGCAAAACAGCACCCAGTGGGTTCCCCGTTTAACCACTTTTGAAAACGAGCTGTCTTGCATCCATGTGAAATAATAATGTTGTCTTGCATCCCTGTATAAGGCTTACAGTGGGGATTCGAGTAAGGTATGGCCATGCAGTTTAGCGAGGTGTTCAGTGAGTTCCCCGTGTTGAAGGAAGGCAGCCCCCATCGGTGGAAGTGTTGCGCAAAAGTACGTTTCTGTCCACGGGTTTCGAGGAAGCAGTTTCAAGCGATATCACCATCTTGAAAAGGACTCGCCCACCAACCATCCCTGCAGTAGTTACATATGTCCAAGCCTCTGAAATGTAATCTTAAATCGCGTGTCAGATGTGATACGAAGTTGAAACAGGCATAGCACTCCATCCCTGTAGATGTTGCAACACTTCGTGTGCGGCGCGAAGGCAAACCATTTCTCCTGGAACTCCACAGGTGCTGAATTCTTGAAGCTGCTGTTGCTGCTGCTGAACACTTTTAAGACGAATGTGCGCGGCGCTGAGGCGAGAGCTCCATCTTGCCCCACCCCCTTGTTCCATTCGTGTAACGTTTGCAGTCTTCAAGCTTCAGGCTTACAAATGGTGAGGAAGTATCAGGCCGAAACGCCCGACCCGCCCTACCGACACGTCTGGCGGCGCGTCAAAACATGGCCATCTTCGGAAACCTTGCATGCAAACATGTCGACATCTCCTGGGGGCGCATCTTCTACACACCCCGGGTTCTGCCGGACTCCGCTGGCGGGGCCGCCCCCGTGCTACACCGCAGCCTTCCGCCGGCCTTCCGCCGACGTCCACCGATCCCTCGACGGCGAGGTCCTCTTCGTGAGCACCCCATGTATCACCGAGCGCGTTCCGCTACTCGCAAAGTGCCTACTTGCAAACGTCCGAAGGACACACCTGTGCTTCGATGCAATTGCTCTTAGATTCCCCTGCGGGGGATCCAGGCCATCTGCGAGTAGTTACTTTGCGAGCAGTGGAACGCACTCGTCTAACATAGCTAGGACAGCGGGGTGGGTGACGGCGAGGAGGGGCGGAGCGGCTGCTCGCGAAGCGCTAGGCGAAGCTGAGGCCGAGCGCGCAGGAGGTCAAGATCAGGAACAACATGCAGCACGCGATGGCGCGGAAGCACCAGCAGCTGCTGCTCGAGTTCCAGCGGGTGCAGACCGACTACAAAGAAGGCCTCGGGTCGGCGGGGAGGGCGGTGGGGAGCAGCACGCTGGCGAGCGGAGGCAGGGGGCGAGCGGAGGCAGGGGGTCGGGAGCGAAAGAAGGACGTACACGTTCATGAATCCCCGCTGGTTTCGAGAGTACGCATTACCCGAATGTTCGTATCACGCGGCCAGTCTCGCGGATCGAGGGGCCGTGTTCATGTGCATAGCTGGGCACGTACGTCCTGTGTGGGCTCCCTAGGGGGGGGAGGGGCGGGGAGGAGGGAGGGAGGGTGAGGGCGGGAGGAGGGTTGGAAGGAGGAGGCGCCCAAAAGTGGAGATCGGGACCGAGCAGTGCTTCTGTTGTGACAGGGGCCTCGGCTTTGACAGACTCTCGCTCTGCGCACCGCAGTTTTGTGGCATTGGAAGACGGGAGAGAGCGGGAAAGTGGAAGTGAGGGAGGCCCAGGGGAGGTGGGGGAGGCAGCGAGGGATCTATCATAAAGGCCATGCGGCTGGTGTGCGACCTCTGAATGGGGGGGGAGGAGGAGTAGGAGTAGGAGTAGGAGGAGGAGGAGGAGGAGGAGGAGGAGGAGGAGGGGGAGGAGGAAGAGGAGGAGGTGAAGGAGGAGGAGGAGGAGTGTGAAGGGAGGAGGAGGAGAGGAGGATGAGGAGGAGGAGGAGGAGGAGGAGGAGGAGGAGGGGGAGGAGGAGGAGGAGAAGGAGGAGGAGGAGAAGGAGGAGGCGTCTGGGAGGCAAGGGATCGAAGGGGAAAGCTTCTGCCAGGGAGGGGTGCTCCCCCAAGGGGGGGTCACCTCCCCCCGGCGGGTAAGTGAACCAAGGGAAGGGGCTTCCCCTCGGCGCGATTGCGGCGTTGCTCGATCTCTCTCTTGCTGGAACGTTTCAACAGGAGGGCCCACGGACAGCAACAACGACGACGACGACGACGACGGCAAGGACGACGACGGCGACGACGACGACGACGACGGCGACGACGACGACGACGACTGCGACGACGACGACGACGACGACGACGACTCAAACGGAAACTCCTCTCACACAGGCCGACACGGTCGGCGGATTTAGAAGAAGGAGGATGAATGGCCTTTTGATTTTTGCCTGTTTTGCCAGTGGTGTTCCTGGTTTGCCTGGCGACACATTGATTCGCACAGCAGTCGAGGCCAAGTCATGTGAAGCACTGTGATCGTGCTTCTTCCCCCTCAAACAATAGAATGAGGATGAGGATGAGGATGATGAGGAGGAGGAGGAGGAGGAGGACCGGCGGATAATGAGGGGAGACACACATCCTAAACCCCTCACGAGCCCGTGGAGCCCCAGATCCCCCCTAAACCATCCTCCTCCTCCTCCTCTTCATCCTCCTCCTTCTCCTCCTCCTCCTCATCCCGAGAATGCGGAGGAGGACAACAGAGGACGACGAGAAAGATGATGATGTTGCTGCTGATGATGACGATGATGACGATGATGCTGATGATGATGAGGAGGAGAAGAGTCATGAGGAGGAGGATGAGGATGAGCATTATTACGCAGATGCAGATGGTGATGCTGACGATCATGGTGTTGAGCATTATGATGATGCAGCTGAGGAAGAGTAGCTGGAGAACGAGGTGGAGGATGAGGAGGCATCCTTGAGGTCTCAAGAAGCGGCAGTGCCGGGAGTTGGCGATCCTCCTGCCCGAGTCCTCGGAGAAGCAGCGGGAGGAGATGATCCAGCAAGGCCAGGGCCTCGTGGCAGCCCTGCTCATCCCTCGTTCCTCCATCCATCCTCGAGCGGAGGAGAAAGGAGGGAAAAGGAAGGAGGATGGGCACGAGGAGGCGAATGAGGATGCCTACGGTGGGGGCGTTGGTTGAGGAATGTGCCCAGGAGGCGTCAGACCCTGGAGGATTCCTTCTCGGATGAGGGCGGCGGTGATATCCATGGGCGATCCACGACTGGGGTTCTACTGGCTTCCAGACCCTGGATTCTTTATCCAAGGGTTCCTTATCCAATGCCCTAACCGTATCCGTAGCCATTTTGGCGCAAGCTGGCTCGGCCCCCCTGCGCGACGGGCGGTGCGAGCATGGTGGCTGCAGGAGTGCCCCTCCGTGGGGCCGCTGGGGCGCGTGCCTCGGCTAACCGCTCATCTCTAAGCTGAAGGGCGAGCTGAGCGCGGCGACGCTGGAGCTCGACCGCCTGCGAGGGCTGCTGGACCGTGCAGCTGGCAGCGGCGGGGGCGCGGCCGAGGGCGAGGCTCGCCGCCGCGAAGCCATCGCGCGGCCGGCGCTGGTGGCCAGGCTCGCGGGGGACCAGGAGCAGCTGGAGGACCGCGTACGCCGCCACGTGGCGTGGCACGCGCAACGCTGCCCCTCGGCCTCGGCACCTCCAGGCGATTGGCGGCGCGCCCAGCGAGGCCCGCGCCTCGGGGCCAGGCGCCCGCGAGGGGGCGCGGGGCTGCGCGCGGACGCCGAGGTTTTCGTGCCTGCAGCTGGGGTCTGGGAGTCGTTGGGTGGCGGCCAAGCTCTCCGCCGTGATGCTGACGAGTTCCTTCCTGGGGCGGGTTCCTGGTTTCCGCCAGCGGATGGGCCAGCCCCCGCGGGACTCCGCTGCACTTGCGGTTCGCTGGCGTTCTCCTGGGTGACCATCGGCGCGACCTGCTTCGAAAAGTACCCTGTGCGGAGAGCTCTGGCGCTAGCGGAGCCGCCAGCCGTCTGGGCGCCTGCGCCCAATGCTGCAGGTGGCGGCGCTTTTTGGGCCCTTGCGAGGGATACCAGCTCTGCTGCTGGGGCCGCCGTGGTCGTGCGGGACGCGAAAGGCGAGCGCATCGGCGAGCGCATCGGCGAGCGCATCGGCGAGCGCCTCACGGAGCTGGAGCAGTGGGCGTGCGCGACCATTTGTCCTTTCGTTCGACGGCTGGCGCGGCTCCGCCAAGGCGGTTCCAGCGAGCAGGGCGTGTTCGTTCACGTCCTTGCAGGGGCAGACGTGGGACATGCGGAAGCCCGCTGCCGACTACCTGGCTGTCCTCGTTCAGCTGGTCGGCGAGCTTCGCCTCAGCCCGACGGAGCTCGAGGAGATCGAGTCGCTCTCGTTGGAAGGGGAGGCGGAACCCATCGAGCAGGTGGCGCAAGCAGGAGAAGAGGAGGATCGTATCTTGAACCTGCTGGCGTTTGAGAGCAGTTCGTTGATGCTCCTCGATGCGCTGGGTGTGCTCGGCGGCGCAGGCCGTGGAGAGGAGGCGCGCGAGGAGACGGCGCATGAAGAGCTGGAGCTGCTGTGCGACATGGAGCCGCGGCGCCTGAGCTGGTTCCGCGGCAGGGTCGCGGCCACGTGGCTGGCTCGGAAGGCGGGGTGGACAGAGCCACCCGAGGGCGACGTCGACGCCGTGTGGCCTGGCGGCGAGTCCGAGCGCGCGCGGAGGGCGGACACCAGCGGCGTCGAACTGCGAGGGGGCCCTGTGGCGCGAGAGTGGCGCGGGCGGAGCGTAGTCGTTCGCGCCCGCGGTTGAATCCAATTGCACGCTTGGGCCTCCAGGGGCCCTTGAAGAGAGACAAATTGCCTTAACCGCATGACAGAAGAATGTGCTGATACTAAAGTTGGGGAAGACGAGGATGAGGATTACCATGATGACGATCAAGTTGTTGATGTGACGGCGTTGGTGATGGTGATGCTGGTGACGGTGGCACTCTTCGGATTGTGGTAAGGCTGGTGCCGGTGCAGTGGTGGATGCGGCCGATGATGCCGAGCGGGGTACGAGGAAGAGGAACAGGATGGGCAGGACGGGGGGGCCATTTGGTTTCCAGCGAGGGGCCCGATCAAGGGTCCTGGGCGGCCTGGGGAGGGCTTGCTGCGGGATCCTGTGGCAGGGCACTCTGGGGCCGCTGCGTCTCCCGGGCCTTTTAGTCCTGCCCTTCCCGCCCTTCCTGCTCCGGAGGCCGCCTGCGCGCCCCTCGTGGCGCCGACTCTCTGCGGCTGAGGCTCGGCGTCACCCCAACATGCTGATACTATGTGTGCGTCGGACCCCCATGGGCGACGCGCGCACAGGGAAATCTCGAGTCGGGCATCGCCTCTCCCCACGCCCTTCTGGGTGGTCTTCTCCCTTGCTCCGTGCGCGAGGAAAATAAATGCGTCGCGGCGGGCGCTTTCGGGCCACGCCGCTCGGGAAACGATCTACTACAATATGGATCTGCGATATGTTCGGGTCGGACGCGCGCGCGCTTCCAAGGATAACATATACTACTAGTCTGTCGCTGTGCGTCCCAGGGGCCTTACCCCCCCCTCCTCTGCGGCCGCCCTCTTCTCTTCCACTTGCGTCAGTGTGCCAATGGCGCGGCGCGCCCCGCCAGCTGTGGACCGTGTTGGTGGCCGCTAGCGTTGCGGACCCCCCGAAAGTTCCCTAGCAGCGTTCCGCCAGAGGGTTCTAGTAGTGATACAAGTACGAGACCACAGATCACTGAACGCGTTCCACTACTCGCAGAGTGCCTGCTTGCAAACGCCCGAGGAAAGTATGTGCTCTTCCATGTAATGTGTCGTAAATCTCCCGCGGCGGGTCCGGGTCATTTGTGAGCAGTTACGTTGCGAGCAGTGGAACGCGCTTGTCCAACAGAGGAGGCCGAACGGGGGGACTGGGATGCCTCAGACCTCGCCGTCCGGCAGCTGGTTTGGCAGCCGTTTCGCGAGATACTTCCTCACACTTTCTTCGCGACCTGTTCTCTCGCTTCCATGCCGGCTACATTTTTGGTCCAGACGGCCACGATTCGGAGGTTGCCAAAAGGGTTCGTTGGACAAGGTTGGTTTCGCTGGACTCGAGGTCCTGCCAGCCCGACCTTACGCACTCCAGCACGACCTGGGGCGCCCCAGCAACCGTCGAATTCACCCTTCTTGAAGCAGAATTTCTCGCCGTCCTCGAACGATCCACTGCGAAAAAACCCTCAGGTGTGCACTTGGCCGTGGCCGTGCCCTCGCTCCTGTCCCGCCTGTCAGCGTTCCTGGGAGTCCCCCTAGGGCTACCTAGGAACCCAGACCCCCGACGTGACGGTTTGTTTGCAACGTCGACACCCAGGGGTCTGGACCCCTTCACCGGGACCCGGTTTTCATCTTGAGTCGTCCTTTGGCGGTCCCAAGCTCCGGGAAGGGCTCCTGGAGGCAGAAAATAGCGAACAATTTCCTTTCGTTGTTGTTTGCACAAGGATGGGGGTCTGGGAATGCAGGTTCTCACCAACCGAACTCCTGCTCGACCCGCCTCTTCACCCTCTGCCGGGGTGAGCCTGCTCCGTGTCCCCTGGCCCTCCCCTGGCCGTCCCGTTTGTTCGGGGGGAAGAGAGGGAGGAGGAGAAGGAGGAGGATGAGCAGGAGGAGAAGGAGGGGGAGGAGGAGGAGGAGGAGGAGGAGGAGGAGGAGGAGGAGGACGAAGAGGAGGAGGAGGGGGCGGAGGAGGCAGAAATGGTAGTGGTAGAATC